TGTCAATAAGCCTCACCTTCTTGGCAAAAACTGTATTGTTTTTGAAGTGGTGGAGAGACAATGCACAGTTTTACCCACTGCTGTCACCCATGGCCAAAGCATATCTCTCTGTCCCAGCAACATCAGTACCAAGCAAGAGAGTTTTTTCCACAGCAGGGGATATTGTAAACGCCCAAACATCCCAGCTTCTACCTGGAAATGTGGACACGCTCATATTCCTAAAAGATAACCTTGATGATGCTGAGTGAGTGAGTGAGTTAGAGTTGAGTTACTTGAAAAACTAAAGTGAAACTTGATTTATTCTATTGCAGGGTCTGATTATTACATTGTTGACACTCTAAAATAGTACTATCGTAAAAAGCAAGTGTATTACGGATTTGTTTTGTGCTCGAAATCGATGTTAGCGCAGACCTATTAATGAAAAGAGTAGTAAGAGGTATAGTGTAGATGGCTAGTGAACTGATTTGTATTCCCCAGACGTTGGGAAACTGAGTTTTCTCGGTAAACGAGGAAAAAAGGTTTTAAAAAAACAGACCTCGGTGGTTTTGTATAAAGTATCGAAACTATCGATTATTTCAACATAAATAACAACCGTATTAGTCTGTGTTTGATGCCCAAAAAAAAACCGTACATAATCGATAAATAAATTGTAATAATTTTGACCAATTTGGTGAGATATATTCTTTTTTATTGAGGGATATTCCTCTTAAAATTTTTATTATGGTGTCCCGAATGAATTTTTTTATTTTTTTTTTTTTTAAATTTTTTGGTCGTGAACCCTCAGGGAGACCGTGGTAAACTCCCTTTTTTTTTATTAAATAATTTTTACCCGGGGGGTGAAACTTTATTTATTTGTATATCGACGTGGGAATTTTTCTCAATTTCCATCCCCAATTTCATTCTTACCGCTTTGGTCGCATGCTCTCACGCGATCTTAAACTTTTATGTGTTGGCTTTTTTATCCGGAGAAGGGGAGCTGAAAGGATGTCTCAGGGAGGAGGTTGTGTGGGCTTGCGCGTAGTAGTACTCCCGGGTGCTCTAATTCAAACACGGTCTACCTTCCGACTGTCCGTCCCATCTGGAGGTTAGTAAAATCGGCCCCGGCCGATTTTTACGAAAATTTGGTCGCGATGCGAAGGTCCTCTAATTTAAAAAAACTAACATAAATAAACAGTTTCGTAAATTATATAAGTAACGATAGCCCCCTTTGCAATCTCATAAGGGGTTTCACCTGATATTAGTTTTCACCAAAGGGACTTTATTTAAATGTTATGGGGGTTAACTTAATACTTGACTTCTAAAACCAGTCGGACAGGGGGGGGAGAGGAGGGGTAACCAACACAAGGGCTATGCATTCTCCGACGTCGTTGGCAACTGGTTGAAGAGAGGATGTGTAGTTTTATGGCCATTTTGGGTCCGTAGCAAACCGACACCTTTCGTATATTGAGACAGGTGTGTCTTAAATTAAGGCACAAAGAAGGCCATGAAAAGAAACTAAATGGGTATCAGCGAGAGCTCGGCTCCCCAGTCCCAATAAGGGGGCGTCCTTCCCCAGCGGCGCCTCTGGCATCCGTTCGTACACCCTTTTTGCGTATAAAATCACTGGAAATTAATTTTGCAAAACAAAAAAAAATACATAGTGTCATAGTGGGGAGTTTTTATTTCTTTTGCTTCGTAAAAGTGGTACGTTGTTTATAATTTATCAGGATGTTTTATGAAAAAAAAATAAAGGAAGAATAAAAACAGAATTCGGAGTTCCCCTCGGGTCTCCCCCCCGAATTCCCGGTGTCAATGTTTGTGTCTTAACTTGTAAATATCTAAACTACTTATGTTCCATACATAAGTCGGAGTGTGTCTGTTGAATCTCATGTTATATCACACTCCTAACAAACAAGGATGAAAAAAGAGGACCTACTGAAAAAGAGGTGGAAACAGTGACAAACCGAACAAATATTGAGGCAAAGTTAGTCCTCTCTGTCAAAACTACATTCTTATAGTATTATGTATATAACGGTCCTATTGTTTACTTACATTGTCTCAAAACCGCTAATCCGGGGCGACACGTCCTCATAGTAAGCCCTCCCCTCTTGGCTAGCTACTTTAGGGGGCCCCCAGATCTGTGACCCACCCACACCACTTACCTAACCAACCCAAAGCCGCAGACCTTCTCCTCACCGAACGGAACTTGGGACGCTAAGTCTCCCTGTCAACTTCCACTTTTCCCACCTCCCTCCAACGCAGCTCAGTGGACTTTACTGCGACACCTCCCCTCCGTCTAAATTTCCAAATCGCCTCACGATACTATCCGAACACTCTTATCTCGCTTCGCTAACCAATTCGACCAACCTCGGGGGCTAGTGAATAAAGGAACTCTCCTCTCTCTCATTATTGTACCTTTATCATTTACTTACTCATTTCTTCCAGGAGGGAACCCAACTTGACGCGAGGCCGACTCAATAATGAAATATCCCCTACATTGCTGTGTGGTTTTGAGTGCGCATGCTATTATAGCGCTATTTTTCAGGTGCCCATTGCTATAATAGCGCTAGAACTTTTTATTTCCTCTTTTAACACTTAGAAAAAAAAAAAAAAATGAACTTAAAAAAAAGAAATAATTTATTATTAGCCTAAACATGNACACACACACATATATATATATATATATATATATATATATACACACACACACACGTACTTGCAACCAGTATTGGGAAAGTTCAAAAAAATAAATCCACTACTCGCACTTGACCAGGTTGGGGTGTAATGGGATACCTGGAATTACGTTTTTTGTAATCAGGATACAAAAAAAGGTAACTGTACTTTACAGTTACAAAAAAAAATGATTACAATTTTTAAATACATTTCTAACTGAACAATTGTACAATCTGATTCACACACTGTAATATGCACATTTTTACATATCTTTGTTACATATTGTAGAATGTACACGTTTACTATAATTCCTGATATTTATACAAAAACATTCATATTTAATTTGTGTTGGATTATTCTTTGGACACTTTTTTACTTGACCTTCTTATGTTTGTATACATGTTTTTAATTTAATCTAAAATAGCTGAGATTAAACTGTCACAAAACCCAATCTCCCTTAAACAAATCAAGTTCTCTGGTTGTGATTCCCACTATGTATGCACTCTTAAAAAAGTACCTGTAAACGTTTTAACTGATTGGAAATGTGGGCATTTTTTTGTATATAATGCAGAAAAAAATCTACACAATACAATGCAAGTAATCGCAAAGCACCATAGTCTGCACACTTTCCAGTCCATCCAATTTATTCTAGCGCTTCAAATATCTGGTCCAGCAAACATAATATGGATCATACCGCAAAATGTGTATGCAGGTTGATTTAATTTACTTTGTATGGGTGCTGCTGCTGCTGCTGCTTCTCTAGGTTCTAAATCTAACGACACTAATGTGCCAAATGATTCGAGTGGGTGGATGATGAAAGCATTTTCACAGCTGGATGGCAGAACCTGCAGAATGCTCTGATGTTGTTCCTCTTTCACTGATTTATGTGCAAAATAATAGGTGAAATGTGTGCATTATTATTTTCTCTTGACTTTGTTTACATATTTGATATCGACTTGAATATCACTAAGTATTCAAATAGCGCTCCATTCATTTAGTGATACTTGCATTTGGGTACTGAATACAGTTTTTAGCAGATAATTGTATCATAATACATTTCAGCACTGCACATGACATATTCATATACAACTCCTAACATTTCAATGAGATGCTAACCTTGCATACTTCTCAAAACGTCATGCATATATTTGCCTCGCTAGTATGTTGTTTACCTACCCATCACATTCTGTTTGTTTCTTCCTGTGTAACAATAAATAATACGGGTATATTGTAGGGCTGCTCAATGAATCGTATTTTAATCGCAATTACGATGTTGGCTTGCAACGATTACGAAAACAACGTAATCGAAATAAAAAGATTATTATTATTATTATTTTTTTATTATTTTCTTTTATTATTTTTTGTATTGGTTTTTCTGTTGAATTATACTTAAAGTTCAGGGTAATCAACTGTTAAACACATACTGTTCACATTTTTTTTTTTAAATAAAAGGATGTTTGTGTGCCTTGGCAGTAATCGTTTTTAATGATCGTGATATCAATTATTGGGCCAAATAATCGAGATTATGATTTTTGCCATAATCGATCAGCCCTAGTATATTGTAGTTACACTTCATGTAAAAACCGAAGAATAAATCTAACCCTAACCCTACAGTTCTATTTGTAAAGTACAGAGAAAAGACGACTAAAATGTCCATCCCTGTAAAACAGCGCGCTCTGTGTGCTTTAGCAGTCATAAACTCTCCCACTTACAACATCTCTCTGTGCTAATGTTCCTTTGTTGGCGTCGGTGCTGCTAACACATCACTTTCCGCGTTGACAGATTGCATCCTCGAATTTGATGGAGCGCCACAAATCATGCGCTCCACTAATTTCATTAAACTAAATGTGCATCCTGTGTATCCCGCCTCGGACCAACGCGAGACTAAATGAGAATAAACAACCCTCTTGTGATCGGAGGACTCGTCAAGCTTAATTGGGTTGGGGTTAATAAAGGCTCATTCCTTCATTGCTTCTTAGTTGATCTATTTGTTATTGTTATGATGATGGAAAGTGACAACCATGAAACGACTTTGGAGAAATAATAGGCAGGTTCCTCTTGTTGAAGCATTCGTGCAGCAGGGGGAAGAACTTTATCCTGATATTAAAGACATACAGTTTTTACAGTGTAGCTTGGTATTGATTTTGTTGTTGCTGCAGTTAACTTTAAGGTTGTCCTCGCCTTCAAAATAATCTTTACATGTCTGCTAAAAGCTTTGCCAGAAGTTGATGACATTTTACCAATACAGTTTTTAACATGAAAAACTGAAACAGAAGTTTTTGAAAGAGTGACTTCACTTATATTTGTTCTTTTCACTTAATGTTTCTTTTGTATTTCTCTTTAGAACTACATGATCCCGTTGAAGCAAGTGTTCACCCCACAGGAAATGGAGGCTATCTTTGTCAATCTTGAGGTAAGAAACCGCCGAAGCAGAAGAAAGTGGTGTCTAAACATCACGCCTGGATGTGTCTCAAATCAAGTGAATAATTCAATATGTGTACAGATGGCTGAATGAATGGCAGGATGTGATGTATATACAGTATGTATATTAAGGGATAACAGTTTGCAAAATGCATGCTCTGATGTCACAGTTTCATGTTGCCACCGCAGTGGGGGAAACAAAATATTCACTCTTTTCTCATTTGTTTTGAAACGCTTGTCACTGGTTATTGCTGTACAACCTGGTCAATAATCAACTTACTACACAAACAAATGTTTAGTATTGTGAATTATCTTAAATTCGTAAAGGAACTTTAACTGAATTTAACCAGATGCTTCAATTGTTAAACAATCGGAAAAACAATTCACAAATGTTATCATTGTTAAATAAAACCAGCAGTATCTTTCAACTACCTGTGTTTCGCGGATAACAATTGATGAACCAACAGCAGTTTCAAAAGAAAATTCTTAATTTAACTTCGACACTTGCCAAGACATACATTAGACCCTAACAAAGATGAGTTGACTATCGTAGCATTAGAAACAAAATAGCAGCAAATATTACAAAAACACAAATGTATCCATCTCTTAACTTGAGTTACTCTACTGTATCAAAATGAATCAGGAATGGAATTAATCTGCAGATGTTCAAAACGAGAACGAAAACACTTTTTGTGCCACAGCACAAGTCAAACTGTAGCCTGGAACAGACTCGCTAAGGTTTGTCTTAGATCAGCCGATTGCAGGACTTCACTGCCTGGCTGAGAGGAGTAGGAGTAAGCAGTCCAATCTGTATTAAAGAGTCCATAAAATAGGTCTTTCCAAAATTGTAAATCACAAGAGCATACAGTCATCCCAAAAAATATTAGGCTGATGTGTCCAGTGGTTTGTGAGATTAGCTGCAGACAGACACACACACACACACACGCACGGACGACCAACCACATTGTCTCCCCACAGGCTTACGTATGGCGAAGATAATTACACTGCATTGGACTAGGACGACTTCAATTTGAATCATAGGGCATACCAAGGCAATATGTAAGGAACGTGCTGTAGCCTGCTGAACCTTTAAGGATGAATACATGAATGCATACCTAATGTTTTTTAAAGGTTTTTTAAGCTCCTTCTTGCCCCTGTTGAACATGAGACTTATTTTTTTTGTACTTATATCATTATTATTATTATAACTTAAAAAAAAAATATATAAATATTATTATTATTATTGTTGTATGTTTTGTTTCTGACATGTTCAATAAATTGACTAAAACATTTTTTTTTTTAAATCCGTACATCCTAGGCCATTTACAGTGTGTATATATCTATACGTAGAATTATTGTCTTGGTGGACTTAACCTCACATTTTAGCTGATGGCATTGCCAACGGTTGTTACTTTTATGTGCTTTTAGGGGTTACAAAGACTTTTAAAAAGCTATATTAATGCAGTTCTTTCACCCTTAGAATGGGTAGATTCTAATATTATGTCTGTTGCTCACTCAGGATGTAATCAAAGTCCACTCCGCCCTCCTACGAGCCATAGACCTGAACATGTTGAGCGGAGGAAGCGGACTGGGGAAGATCTTCCTCGAATTCAAAGAAAGGTAAGTGTCCTGAAATGTGTCTGGTTTTAGACATATGCAAAAGCTGCTCTTTTTTGGGTTCATTGTGTTAAAAAACAACCTTGGTTGGGAGCAAGCGGCAAGAGGCTGCAACATGTTACGTATCATGATGAGTATCCACAGATCTGTCGGGGGATTGCTGGGATTAGTGTTCAAAGAAGAAGTCGATTAAAACAAAACACGTAGAGCTGAAAAGCTGAGGGAGCATGTAACCAATTGTTCCCCATTCAACCATAACAGCCAAAGTAAATTCACTCAAGACTGCGTCCCCTATCACAGTTATATTCCTTTACAGTGTTGTCTCCACTTTCACTGCCACATTATTAGCCAAAGTTTTATGTTCCTCAAACACATGACACAATCTCAAAATGCATTAGGATTAACCGGGAAATCAACTGACTTCAAGTGTTTGTTGAAATCAGGTTTTCAAGTGCAGCCACCTGCTTTATCTGCTCTGTATCCAGATTGGAACAAATCATTTTCATTGGAAAGAAGTTTAAACTATACTGCACAAACTTTTGTATCTATTTATTTGGTATTATTAGTGCATTTTGTTCTGGAACAGCATTTGTATCCTCCATGCTCCACAAACCTTAAAAGAACAAACTCATACCACAATACTCTAAAATGGCAAATCAACTTTATAGGTATAAGATTGTTCGTTGTTGAGCAGAATTGATCTAATCTATTTTAAAAGCCATCCACCCATGTGAAGGACACAGGTTCAAATCCGACATGTGACCATTTTCCGCGAGTCATCCCCTTTGCATCCACCTTTCAGCACTGTAGCTTCCATCAAGGCACTGCTTGTCCCCCACCAAACCAAAACAAGAAAAAGTATATACATGAAAAAAAGAAAACATTTGTGGGAGTAATTTAAAGTATTTCCCTCTTAAATCGTACGTATTGCTCATAAAGTGGATGACAAGCATATAAAACAGTTCCACTTCTTTTAAAAAGTTATATTAAAGGACTTTATTGGAGACACAAAAATGTTATAGGAAGGATATTTCTGTGCTGCGGAGATTAGAAAACTCAGGGAACCGTGTAAGCCGAGGTTTATTGGTGAGCAGGGCTTTCTCTCAGATGGATCTTCATCTGGCCCAGCTGCTGAGCAGCGTGTGGATAATTTGCATCCCTGAGGGGAGCAGTGATTTGCCTTCCTGCTGCTGCGATTGAGGCTGCTTCATAGGTAATGGTAATGATGGCGATGATAGGCTCTGGCCCTGGGCACGATTCCACACACAGCCATGCCACTCTCCTCCAATGACACACCCATTACTGCAAGAGTGAGTCACACACGTGTGTGTGTGTGTGTGTGTGTGTGTGTGTGTGTGTGTGTGTGTGTGTGTGTGTGTGTGTGTGTGTGTGTGTGTGTGTGTGTGTGTGTGTGTGTGTGTGTGTCGGCGTATTTCTCTGGTCGGCGTCAGTTTGCATAGGTAATAGTCTCGTCCCACGCCTCTACCCTTAAGCCTAGAGAGCCGTGTAACGCAGAGTTAGTGTGACACTACAGACTCCATTCCTGCTAATCGACAGAGGCAGGCGCATACTCTCTCCCTCTATCTTACACACGCATGCACACACTCCTTCTGCATCTCCTTCCTTGTTGTAGCTCATCTGACTCTCTCATCTGATGGAGCTTTTGGTTGGAAATCTTCATTTGCACGCAATCCCAGATAAGGTCCAGTAAGCCAAAGGTCCCTGTAAAGGACTGGGCGGGTGCCTCATACAAGCTTAAAGGATGCACATGAAGAGAGGGAAACTGGGGAAATCCTGAAAGAGATTTAAGGAGAAATAGTAGGTTTTGCAATTATATCATCTTTACTTTAGGGTTTTTTAGGTCTTTTTGTTATGGTCCTTAATAAAAGCTAATCCGGCCCAACATCTTTTGTTTTTTAATTCAGTACTTGCAAAGTATTTCTACTATAACTCCACTTTTTGACATGAAGTACATTGAACCTGAACCTTACATCCATATGGGATTATTGAACATCAAAACAAATTACCTGAATTTTCGTCAATAACCTCCCCCATTCTTCTGGGGAGACTTTCCACGAGATTTTGACACTGCTGGGGATTTGCGCCATTCATCCAGAAGAGCCTTTGTCATGTTGTGACTGATAAGGCGATGAGGCCTGGCTTACAGTTGGCGTTACAATGTATCCCTAAAGTGTTGGACAGGGTGGATGTTGGGGCTCAGTGCCAGTAAAATTCTTCCACTCTAACCTGGGAAAATCCATGTCTTCATCGACCCAGCTTTGTGCTTGGAGACAGTGCCATGATGAAGGAAACAGTTGGCATAAAGACTGAAGTAAAGTACCATTAATATTTCTAGTAATTTGAACTAAGAGGACCAAAGCTTTTAAAAGAGCCCAAGACCAAATAAAGACCTGTAGTTAATGGGGTTATTTGGTAATGGGCTCAACCTTCTATCTCTGACAGAAATATGTAACATTTACCTTCTATTCCTTCACTGATGACATATCGCTCATTGTTAATATTTACCTCTAGCGACATTCTCAGAAATGGGAAGCTGGGCTATTTTAAGACCGACGGTTCATTAGATTTGCAGATTCTGTGAGCGTCACAGACTTTGAATCTGCGTGTGATTGACATGTACGCCGGCCTCATTATGAGCCACCGCAGTGTCTTGCGATAAGCAACAGTTACCAGGGGATTTGGACCTTCACAGCGCCGCTCTCATCAGGCATCTGGGCGATTTTCCTGAGGACCTGGCTTGGCATAATTAACTCTGTTATCTATGCTTGTAAGTAGCTCTGACCTTTACAACAATGTGCTTGTTTCGCCTTCTTTCTCACGTTGGTGGGAAAGATGAAAAGCTTTTCCCTTTTTTATTCTATTTGTCGTCAAACTGAATGCCACGCTGAAAATGTCACGGGTTTATCTCAACTACTTCTCAATTCTTAAACAGCCCAGCTGAATGGAAAAGTGCACTCAGGAGCAGCTCTAGAAAACTGAATGGTCATCTGAGTGCCCTCTTGTTGATATCCTCATTTGCGACATTCCCCAACTCATTTCCGGAGTAATCTGGCTTCCTGATATCCCCGCTCTGCCTAATCATGGCTGCACTTTGAGCCTCTTTATCGGAGGTCTTTGCTTCATGTTCTCCTCCATTTGCTGTGTGCTGGATATGTTGAGTGGAGGTGAGGGGGTTCCCAATGCCATGTGTCAGAGAATATTAGGCGGCTCCACAGTCTGTCACTTCTGGTTTGCTTGGAGATTGGCTCGGCTCGCAGGACTTTACGAGGACGGGGGTTGAAGTTCCCAGGGCGCCGTTGCTCAAAATTGCATTTTCTGTGAAATAACATGCACCACAGCGTCCTTATTATGAAATAGACCTGCCAGCACAGCAGGGCCATACCATTGCTGCTGAAGAGAATACAAGCACGTTTATTAATGCACCAGCAAACTCTCTAACCCAACGGGGAACTGTCTGAAACAACTATGCCGTTTAGAGGCTACTGGGCAGCTTCTGATTTTCCTTATAACCACGCCTGTTTGCACACATTATTTTTCAAATACAGACTTCTGCAGGTTTTATAGTGTCATAAGAGAAAACTTGCCAATTTGGTCTACTTGGGGAAAAAGTCAAGGTTCCCTGGGGATTAAAGCTACTCTTTATGAACGGGTCCCAGTTGTGTTTGTGTGGTGCTAACAAAACTAGCAAAAGCACGAAAGAGGTAGGTAGAGATGCAAGGCAAGTTTATTTATATAGCACTTTTCAACACAAGGCAATTCAAAGTGCTTTACAAAAAATGAAAGACATTAAGAAACATAACATGAATGTTATTCAATTTCTAAAAAAACTGGCCCTTTGCAACTATTTTACGAGGAAGGAAGTCATTCAAAACTTTTGTTGGACCACAGTCCACCAAATATATTATGATAAGTAACCCTCTGAAAGACGGACTAACTATAGACCACTGGGAAAAGAGTGGGGAGATAAATAAGTCTTTCTTATTAAGTCCACACACTGATGAATATATACGAACAATATTAGAGGTAGCCTTCATAAACTATACTAAAGTCCTTTTAGAAGAACATTCCTTAAGCTTTATTTTGTTCTCGCTTATTTCCTTTAATGTTCCCTTTAATATATTTCTAGGATGTGTTCATGCCTGTAATACCTTGCTTCCCTTTTACTGCTATCATGGTTCCCCCAATGACACCAGAAGCTTGAGTTCTTTGCATTGGTTTCCTGATAACTTACTGTGTGACGAGTGTCTCTTAAATATGACCTTGGATCTTCCCTACGCTTCATAGTCCACCCGCTGCCTTATAATGGATCAAGGCCCCGATTCATCTCAATCACTTTGTCGTCCTGGATGGACAGGAGCTGATGGGAGCTGTCTCTCTGTGTGTGGATCAAGTCTTAATCAGGAGCTTATTAGCCCAGGGCCAGTTTAACCAGGCTGAGAGCCCCGCTACAGGAGGGCTGTAGTCAGAGCTCAGCGGGGGCTCCAGGGACGCTCCAGGGATCATCACTGTGGATCTCTGTAGAGAAGACGATGATCAAGAGATGATGGGTCCTTCAAGAGGAAGATTTTCTTTCATTGTTGAGAATTCCACCTCTGGTGAAACATGCGATGAGTGACACTCTTAACATTGACCATAAAGACATTCCTCACAGGTGCCATATTGTGTTTTTGTAGCAGTTGAGTTTAAGATGCAAACATTTAAAAATCTATATATGACTAGAATAGCACAATGCCGTTTCAAGTTGTGAAAAGCATTGCATATATCTGCCCTATGAGTCAGATCTGCTTCAAAATAGAATGGGTTCTTCCTTGGCCCATACTACACCCTCCTACCAAGTCTCATGAAACTCAGGCGTGTAGTTTTTCTTTATTATTGCTGACAAACGGAGAAACCAACAGCCAATTGTTTTTATTTTTCCTTGATGTGGGTAGCCATACATCAGTTATGCTTCTTTAAAAAAAAATATGTGTACTTCTCATTGAAATGTCAGTCTATTTAAGTTTTGTTTTAATAAAACTTAAAATTCACCACATAAATGTAGCAGGGAGCGGATGAATTGATATGAAGTTGTACTCCCACTGCTTCATCAGAGCCGTTTGCATTCCTCTTGTCTGCCTCACAGATCTATCAGAGGCCTGATTAGACTTCAGGGTGCCAGCTCTCTGCACCGCTCGAGACTCAGATTAAGAGACCGGAGTGCCAACTCCACCGGAGGGGGGGGTGTTGGGTTTAGCACTTCACCAGCCGTGCCAATGCCCTACTTTGACTCAGCGAGTGAGCAGGAGGAATGTGTGCCTCTTTGCAGTGGCATCCTCCAGGCAGGATGACTTTGAACTCCTTCCCAACTGAACCCACAGATCTGTGTCAGCGTCCCATTGTAGTGTCGAATGAATACAGCTCTCATTTCCTCACTGCTCCAAATTAAGATTTTTTTTTTCCCACCTCACACGCTGATAAGAGGAACTCTGCAAAGCAGCTGATATTAGACAACGCCTTTCATTAGCAATCTGAGATTACAACAAGAGGAGGCCGCCCCTCCAAATATTGCCCTGGGATCAGAATCTGGTCATTACTTATTCATGGTATTCACGTATACTCCTAATCACACTACATTTATTAACATATTCATTTAGCCTTTCCTCTACAGTGCCAAATGACTCTCAGGCTGACCTCTGAAATTGTGTTTATTAATCTTTACATTAATGTGCCGTACATTGCCGAAAGGCTGATTGTGGACTCAAACACCAATCAAATGTTCCTCTATGTTTTTACAAAGATATGATTTATATTCCAACCTTTTGAAAAGAGCCTCATTAGTCCTTATTAAGCCTCATTTGTAGATTTTTAGCCATATGCTCGGCTGGAGATGCTTTTATGAGCTGACGTGTCTTCATTAGTTCCCGTACTCGCAGAGAACAAGCTGAAAATATCTGAATCATAATCCCAGCAGTGGATTTCTCTTTACGGACATGAATGTTTCATCTTTTGGAGCGCGAATATACGGTTGCAGAGGGGCCGTCTGGGAGTAAAAGTAGTTAACGGCTTCAAAATGTATTAATCAGCAAGCCAGAGAGACTGTGAAAAATACTTTGAATTGTTGATAGTTAGATCATATTGCTTATACAACTTTCTGTACTTGTGAAACACTGTCTAGTGTGCCCACCTTGGCAAACACATTCCTAAGGTAGTGCACAATTCACCAGTTTTCTTCTTATTTCTGTGTGTTTTAAAATGTTCCTCTGTGGCAGGAGGTCTTTTTGGGTTTAGACCTTGATATGCTTTTATTTGGACACAAAAGAATACTTCAAAATACATAACAGTTGCTTGAAGCAGCTGAAAAAGCTTTCAGAGCGAGCTTCAGGTCTTTAACCCGGTCCCTCTTGCTCAATTCATGTTGATGTAAACTAGAAAGTGCGATCCTAATTGGTCACTGTACATTTCTCATGTTTTTATCAATGCTGTGCTATTGCTTTTATTTAACTCATGCTGTGTGAGTAGGGAACTATGTTAAAAGCTCTCTCCACTAACAAAAACAACATGAGTGTTCAGTCGATATGCACAGTATACTATAAAAAGGTACTGCAAAAAAAAACAATGAAATCAGGGAGGATGTGGATGATGACATTACAACATAGCTTCACTTGTATTTACAAAACTACATTATTTTTTCCTAAGATTATATTTTTGAAATAAGAAGAAACCGATCATATACCTTTAGTTTTGTTTGGCTTTTTTGCTGAAAATTTATGAAAATATGATTTTGGTGTGCCCACCTCACTGTCCAATCTTGTTTTGGAAACACAATGATTGACCAAATTGTGATTTATGGCATATAATAAACAGTCCTGGCATAATGAACCACTTTCATGCATGACTTTTATTTGTAGTGTTCCCTCCCTACAGTATGTCCCATGAAGGGCGATGAGATGTGACAGTGTATTTAGATGTGACAGTGTATTTAGATTAACGGTGTATTTAGAGTAACGGCTGTTTTTGACTTGTGTCCTTCCCCAGGTTGTTGATCTACGGTCTTTACTGCAGCCACATGGAGAACGCACAGAAGACACTGGACGAGCAAATAGCGACACGAGAGGACGTCAAGATTAAAGTGGAGGTAACGCCCTTCACCTGTGACATCCCACTGATTGAGTGCATTGCTGTGAAAATAATACATCACAGTGTGAACACAGGCTTCTATTTCAGACTGAATACTGATTCGTGAGCAGGTAGGATTAGCATCTTGCTAATGGACCTAAAACATGGCTTAATGTGGAATGGGACAGGGGCTTTAATGACAAGATGACACCTTACAAAAAACATTATAAGCCACAAGACAATAGGTGACAATAGAAGTGTTCTTCCACCTCCAATAGAATTCAACATATGTAGGTTATTTCCTTTTTCTTTTTAAAAAAAAAAATTAGGTTCCTATATTCACTAAATGGCCAATACATCTTTTAACTAAGGACAGTTAGGAAGTGTATGCAATTTATGCAACCATTTACATGTTTGCACTTTCCAAATGTCTACAGAAAACGACATCTTTTACAACATCAAGTATGAAATTCTAATTTGCTGTTGAATAAATTAAGACATTGAATAATTAATGACATAAATAAATGTATAAATGTGATCCAAATGTTTCGTGGTCATGCACAAATTGAGATAAAATCAGAGAGGCAAATAATCTCATTTGCAAATATGCCCTTAAGGACTGTTTAATTAATAATATTCTGATGTACTGAAGTCAACATAACCCCAGATGTATTGGCGAGTGTACTGTGGGCAGAGTGGTGGATTTGTGGTGACGGCCTTCAAGATGTCTTGCCAACTCACCAATTCTTACATGGGAAAAGTTGTATCACATGTATGGGTCTATTGAAACTCCTTCTTTGTATAACATCTGAATTGATAGTAGAAGAAACGCTAACACACTGCTGTAATAATGGTGTTAAGGCACATCAGCACTTAGCATGTTTAGAGAAATTCCTTTAACAGCTGTTGTCAAAAACTCTGAGATACACTCTCTCCTAATAGAAGATCTTTGTACCGGGATATATAAGCTTCTTTCTCCACAAAACCCTTATTTGTAGAGGGATAAGCTGTCCTTGTTGCTGCATGGTGATAGAAAGTGAATAAAGAAACGCCTACACAAGCCACTGTGATGAAGCCTCATAGTGTGACACATACAAAAGGCAGTTTCTAACGGAGCCTGTGCAGAGTTTATAAAAACATATTCATTAGTCAGAGGAATTTCCCAGTCAGCATTCGAGCCTACTGCATCACAAAGCTTTTGTTTCCCCTCAGAATAATAAACTGGGCTCGTTGTAGCTGATGGAATGCCAAATGAATATGTGGAAGCGGTCACAGCAATACAACAATACCCCATGAATTATTAAACAATGAATGAATGCTTGTTAGTAGGAAGGAAATGTGCTTTGTGGCCTTATGCAATGTGTAATAACTGCCCTGCTGCTTGTGTTGTTGTTCTTCCTCAGGAGTGTACTATGAAAGTGCAGGAAGGGAAGTTCAAGCTGCAGGATCTGCTGGTGGTTCCCATGCAGAGGGTGCTGAAGTACCACCTACTACTGAAGGTAGGAGGCATCTCACAGCATTATTTCTCTGGATGCTCCATGTGTTTGGAACGCAAAATACTTATTACACTCCATCTTTTAAATATCAACACTCATCCCTGCTTGAAGCACACAATGTGTATTTGAAAGGTTTGAGGCTTGCTTCTTTGAATTATGAGATGAGGGGCCCCTGGTCACAAACACACGCCCTGACACCTTACATAGAAGAAAGACACACAGACTTTGTGGTGGCTTTGTCTCTTTTGTATTGTTTAACGAAGGTGACAAGTATTACATGTTAAAAGCATAGGTCATATGTCTCAAAGTGTACACGTTAATTCATTATTTTTTCATTTTGGCTATTACTTAATAACCAGTCTGAGTCTGTCTTTATTCCCTACTATGAGCTTCAACTGGGGACCATCCTGTCATCATTTTGTTGACCTTTAGCCACGCCACAAATTCTGTTTCTGTACTTCTATTTTGCCCTTTTGGAACATGCTGCATGTTTGCCTGTGTTCTTTATTTTAGACTTTTCATTTATGAATTATGTCCATTATTTTGGTCCTGACGTATGGTAATTAGCATGTTGTGTATATGTTATGTAAATAATTAAATAATGTTAGTTTCTAGTTACCTACAATTTAAAATAATGATTTAATCAATTTGATTACCTAATTAATCATATAAAGTAATTCATGACATTAGATTAGATTTCTGCTCCTCAGGCAGTTTAGCTCGTGTCATAAACTGATTCCCCTGGGTTACCTGGTAGCTATAATCATTATGTAGCCGTGCATCGATGCCCTAATATGAAAATATATTTAAGCCCAATGACTAGCCACACACTTCCTCTCCATTATTCCTCCCTGGAGCTCTCCTCCTGGCGATGAAACAAGACGGCCACTGTAATATCGCCCATGATTAATTGACTTTGCATCTCAATTATGGATGAGCATATGAGTTTATGAAGCGGTGCATAATGGAGGCGAGCGTTGGCTTCAGGTGATTGTGGGGCTTCACGGAGAGCGACTTGTCTATTAGTCTGTATCGAACCCCTGCAGGAGCCTCAGCCGGGCACTGAGGTCAAATCAAGCGCACTCTAATCCAATTAAGCGCACCCCATTTCACTGCATCCAACCGCTTTGCAGGGAAACACCGCTGCACGGCCCGGGGGCGCGTCACACTGACAAGTCCTGTTTACTTGTCCACTCATGCACGTCTTCAGTAGATGTTGTATAGATATCACCACGGCAGCGGTCCCTCTATCCGGTCATGGTGCGAACACTTTCATCTTTTATGGCTGCACTCTAAATAAAGTGAATTCAGCACAGTCATCTCAGAAGTGATTCTCCTCCAGCAGGGTTTGAATAGTTGATGAATTTGCAGTGTTTTTATGAACCTGTGTGAAAGCTGAGTTTATGGGCTGTGCTGTGAGTCGTCGGGGCGGTCTCGCTTGAGGAAAAGTAACACCACGGTATTAAAAAGATCTGCTGAGTCGTTAGATCATTTATATAAAATGAAAGTTAATTAAGGTGAAATTAAGCCTAATAGGAGAACTCTCGTCCTTGCTGTGCGGCTGCTGGTGGGAAGCCTTTGAGAGATAATGCTCGTGTCGCCGCACTAATGGCTCGTACTGGTTATTCAGCATGGCTGCACAGTGGGGGTTAGACCGGGGGGGATATCTGAAGGTCATGCCCTCTTATAGCTAGCAGGTGGAGAGTTGTCATAGCGGGAAAAGGTAAATGTAATGCATTGAAAATACATCTATCAACTGGCCCTGTTAAACTTTTTGGGGTTTTCCCTTTCCTGTAGTGTGTCATATACTGTAGGTGAATGTGAATGGTCTGCAAAGGCTAAAATCCTCCCGTTGTATTAACTTTAGTTTGTCTATCAATGTCAACAACGACAAGACAACATTTGGTTCAGTAGTGTGTTTATTTCTTAGTTTTTTTAGGACACTGCTGATGGATATGCCAACTGGTTAAACATATGGCACAGTTTCAGTTCTATTTATAAAACTATAAAAGCTTTAATGGGATTTTCATTTCTCACAAAACACATGGCTCTATAGCGTTTTATAAATCCTTCCAAAAAGCTAATGGAGGAGACATGCCATCCCATTTCAAAAACAATGCTGTCATTGACTGACTCTGTGGAGGAATTGTCCTTTAGCTTATTAGCATAAAGCTTAAAGATGCCTGGAGGTTAGTTAGCAAACGTTTGATTGAATGTATGTTTCTATCTGACTCAGATGTGTGTCAGTGTCAAACACATCAGCTATACATCTGTTACAACATCTCCTCTCATTACTATAGGCTTTGAGTCAGTGTGTTTACTAAATATGAATAATGATCTCCCTCCACAGGAGCTGTTGACTCACTCGGCGGACCGACCGGAGAGACAACAACTGAAGGAGTCTCTGGAGGCGATGCAGGTCAGTGTGCTCATGAGTGAGCTTTAAGACACGTTACATAATGGCTCTACAGCGCTCAGAGCCAAAAGCTGTATCAAATGTTTCATACAGCTACTGCGCCTCAAAGGGCCGTACATCTACAGTGATATGACAGATGTCAAAAGGGATTCCAGGCTGAAAGAATGTTTGCCTTGCTCTCCCAGGACCTTGCCATGTACATCAACGAAGTCAAGAGGGATAACGAGACGCTGAAGAAAATCAGCGAGTTCCAAAGTTCAATCGAGAATCTTGTAAGTATCGTCAACGCCTTTTATTTTTCAAGTTTCTTTGGGCTTGATTCATGTTCTTACTGTAGGTGAAGCCACATGAACATGTTTTTACCTGACCTGAGTTTCTAAGTACCGGTAGTCATTTCAATTGAGAGACTTTTGTATATATATTTTTTGTTGTGCTTTATTAACTGGTTTGAAGTGGTTAAAGTCAATGTCATGTTTCTCCACAATAAATCACAATAATACTACACCCACTGTTCATCAAATGTAATCAAACCACACACATACACACGCAGTCTGTTTTTTTAACTGTTACCAGCATTTGAATGAAGAAGTGTTTTCTTACTTTACGTTCTTTGCTTCTTTCGAAACATATGTACACTTTTGGTCGTCTGGCTGTAGCTTCAAATTTAACAGAGATACCAGAGTGGTATTTGTTTCACATCTTTTGCCAAAATGTCATCCACAGCAGCACCGTTTAACTTTGTCACATTCAAGTAAATAGTATAACGGTCACCTTGTATCATGAATCTATTGTTCCTGCTTCTGTTTTATTTTACAAAGCTAGATTTGACGTCTTTGCAGAAGACATTTTGAATATAAAAAGTAATACACTGTCTAACGTTATCACCAGGATGGGATTCAATGTTTGTGGGAGTGATTATTCACTGAGCATTAACCCAGAAACAATAACCTTACCTTGCTTCCTCAACGAATGATTTAGTGTTTACCTTCCAGGCTGATGTTCATCTTCCGTTATATTTCCAAATATGTCTAAAGGGACTGTCTCTTTCTCTGTTATCACTTCCTATCTTCATGTATTGTTCCTACAGAGGTGCAACTAGTCACTGGGTCCTTATAAATATGCCCCAGATACAGTAAACAACTTGTGGATGTGGATTACCAGGATGGAAAAGAAACAGGGACTGAATATTTTCCCGAGATGTATCATTTAGTAGAAATCTATTATGATTCTGTCTAAAATGCAAGTGTAGATGAATTAATCATGGTTTCTCATTAAATATAGAAGTTATACTAGTCAGTGGATTGACACGCTGTGTGTCCTTTTGACCGAAGCAGCAGGTGAAACTGGAGGAGTACGGGAGGCCAAAGATAGACGGAGAGCTGAAGGTGTGCTCCATCGTCAACCGAACGAAACAGGACCGGTGAGAACCATCTCTCCAGAATAAAATACCTCCAGGAATCACATATTCTTACAGTTGGAAAAAAAATTAATACGTGTGTTTGTCTTCAGGTATATATTCCTGTTTGATAAAGTGGTCATTGTCTGCAAGAGGAAAGGCTACAGCTATGAGCTCAAAGAGATTATCGAACTGCAGTCATATAAAATGTCCGACGACCCCATGAACAACAGAGACATGAAAAAGGTAAGAATCTTTTACTTTGAAAGGACCAAGCTAAACAAAATGTATGCAGATGTTGTAACATCCCGCGTAATCATTACAAATGTTGCCCTTGAGCTGAAGGACTTTGTTGATGGTAATTTGCAGATGTAGATCTTATGAGTAATGCGTTGACGTTTCACATTATCCATTGCGCTCGCCCATGCTTGAGAAACCATGTTAATGCAACGAAGGGCATTTAGGATTCATGAAATCGTACCGCGGTGCATTTTGCCACAGGTCTAACATGGCTTTTTTGTTTTGAATCTGCATGTGTCTTTTCATGTTATGCATGTGTAACTGGCTCTTTCTCTGGTGTCTTTCTTTTTGCATGCTTACCAGTCCAGTGGAAAAATGGTAAGCTCAAGTTGACCCTTTTTTATTTGACTCATCTTCTCATCATGGCCTATTTATTGGCAGTGGAGTTTTATGGGTGTCATGCTGTGAATGCACGTGCACTCTCCAGCTTTTGGAAATATGCATCGCTAAAGCATGTGGAGTATCTTATAGTTCAGAGTAAAAGGGATAGTTGGGATGTTTTTAGAAGTGGAGTTTTATGAGGTACTAATCTATAGTCGGTGTTAACTATAGTGGATGGTTGTAGGTGAACCCCCAGTTTGGAGAAACAGACAGGAGTACGGGCACAGAAGCTAAGCAATGTTCTGTGTGGATGGGGGGTTAACGAATCATAGCCCAAAAGTAAAAATATAAATTAATATATATGTTGAATATTTTCACCACTTACCATTTTGTAAAAGAGCTATAAAGTCGGAAGGCGTTTTCAACACCATCTTTAAAGCCACCAGACTCCTATGTAAAAAAAGAAAAGGGTATTTTTTTCTTGTAACACTAAATTTGCTGTGTACATCTAATAATAATAATAATAATGAATTACATTTTTTTTTATTATTAGAGCGCTTTTACAGGTGCTCAAAGCGCTTTACAATTACACATTACACGTATTAGACATGTAAGAGTCATTACTGTCTAGTCATCTGCCTAGTTTGTTTGTGTTATTGTTTGACTTTGGGTTGTCCCTATTCCCCTGAATAACACAGTTACACAGATTAACTAACAGATCAAGGCAGCAGTAGACCAGCAACCTCTGTGTTCTGTGAGTCAAAATTACAGTTATTTTTCAATAGAGTCTGGTGGCTTCGCCAAGAGCATAGATAAAAGCTACAGTGCCCAATGGAAAACAGAAATGTTTTACATTAGCTCATGGTTAGCTCTCACAGCCAGCTACTGTATAGCAGTGAACATATGTAACCTTAATCAGCAGCTGTTCTCCCGCACGCTTTCTCCAAGTTGTGATTGTCTGCAGTCTGACATGGGATAAGCACTTCATACAACCTCACTTTAAAACATGCAAACTATCCCTTTAGATGTGCTGATATTTATTTAGTTTTTTTGTATGTTTTTTATGAAAGCGCAGAAATCACTAAGTTATTGGCCTGTTTTTGTCCTTGCCATCCACATATGTCTCCACCATCTGTTCCTCACTCACTTCTTCTCCCCAGTGGTCGTACGGTTTCTACCTGATCCACCTGCAAGGGAAGCAGGGCTTCCAGTTCTTCTGTAAAACAGAGGAGACAAAGAGGAAGTGGATGGAGCAGTTTGAAATGGCCATGTGAGTACGATTACACAAAAGGGTTGGTAACTTTCCTGGAAATTCACTTGAGAAATCGTCTTTAAAAAAGATAACCAGATGGAAAGTGTCTTTTTACACTCTGTTAATTAAACACTGGAGAAATCAAACGAATCTCATTCATTATTGTTTACTTCCAGGTCCAACATCAAGCCAGAGAGAGCCACAGCCAATCAGCATAACTTTCAGATGCACACATTCGATAAGAACACCAACTGTCGAGCCTGCAAGATGCTCCTGAGGTAACTCCCTGATAACTCCAGTGCTGATCTGCAGAATAGCACATTCATATTCTACAATAAATAATGAATGCATGTGCTTCTAGACTTTCCGAGGACTATCTTGTATCCAGCTTTATTCAGCAGGAACACAGATCTATTTAACTCAGTTCTCTCTACACTCTGCGCAGACACTTCCTAGAAGAAATACTTTTATATACGCTCAGACATGTTATGCAACATTCATACGAAAATACTGTATAGCCATGATTTATGCAGGGGTGAATTAAGAAGCCAGGTGATTGTACCTGATAAGGGGTAGGACTTTTCTGACACGTCTTTAAGCAGTTGACCAATCACAACAGAGCTGCCCAGCTAACCAATCAGAGCAGACTGCGCTCTGGTTTCAGACAGAAAAGAGGTGCTGCAGCACAGGCAGGATGAGAAGAATAAAGAGCTTTTTGACATTAAAGCATGGAAACATGTCACAGTAGAGGCACAAAATATGAATAAGAAATAATCAATAACAGTTCAGTCAAAATAAAACAAACATAATTATGTAGGACAAGTGATAATCATGTACAAAAGTAAAAGTAGTGTTAGACTTCAATGTGTCTGATGAACAAAGGGAGTGAAGTGCTAAAATGAGAGGATATTCTGCCACATTTGGTGAGAGACAGATAAACACACTTAAATTACAGAGGGAATATGTTTTTGGCTAGCGTAGCCTCTTACTAGTGTAAAAGCAATCCTTGGAAGAAATGTTTCTTACTCAATCTGATATTTTTAAACCTTCCCCTTCCCAGCACCACCCGCTGTGTCCCTGAGCGCTCCCCCTCCCCTGTGAGAGTGCTGCTCCTCTGCAGCAGGGACAGCCCGAGTCACTGAATCACCACTTTCCCCTCTATTACAGTCAGCCGGCTGAACTCCACTCTGTGTATTGACCCACACGTTTCCTGGATGCGCTGACCTAAATTCACAGAGCCAGTGGTAGCAGGGACCGGCGTCCCAGCTCCCTGCTAGATGCTAATTACTGCTGCAGCCCCAGCGGATCCCCATCCTGATTTATGGCACTTACTATTCAACATGGCAGTGTGCAACACATGCGGCGTTACAGTAACTGCAACCAATCTCAGTACTGCTCTTAAATGGAGCGAGTCGATTCTGTGATTTTAAAGGATCACAAAGTGGAAATGATGGAGCATGTGTAACCGCAATCACAGGCTTATAGTTCCAAGCGGCCGATTCCCTTGTGGGTTGTCCGTACAAGAAGTTAATTTGTGTCTGAGACACTTCCTGTTTGCATTACTGATGTGAGCGTGTGTGTGTGTGTCTCCTCTAGGGGAATCTTCTACCAGGGCTACTACTGCTCTCGCTGTGGAACAGGAGCACACAAAGAGTGTCTGGAAGTCATCACCATCTGTAAAATAAGTAGGTGTTCATTTCATCTGCTTGCAGAAACCCTTTTTTAAATTATTTTATTAAATAAATGTCTATTTTGGGGGCTCAATGTCAGGTATACGGAAGCCTTGGATGTCAAGTGAATAAACAAATGTATTCTGTTAATCCATTAATTTAGTCTGGTCTAAATAATTGTCTCTCTTGTGTATGTGAATTACAAATGGGCGGGAGAAAATGTTCTGCCAGAATAGTCTTTCTAAATTCCTTAATTAAAAAGAAACCTTGTGTCTGTTGTTGTAGTACTTGTTTCGGCCACAAGAGGCTATAGTGCACCACTACTCAATGTTCTGAATGGACTAAATGCATAATACACCTGCCAAAAATAAAAATGTAATTCATAAACAATTGGGATCAGGGTTCCAGTAAAGATGTTTTTTCCTCACTTGTCTCTCAGGGCTTCCGTACAGGGCTTGGCAATGTTTGGATTAAATCGTAAATCAATGTTGTGTGACAGACTTCATTGATGTTATTATGATATGATTATTTCAGTTTTTTTTTTACCTCATTAAAAACGATCCGTGAAATATCATTACGTTCACAAGCATAAACTTACTGTTCCTGAACCGTGAACTGCTTGCAGGCCTCTGGGGGTTTCTATGGATCAGTGTGGGACTATTTCACATCCTTTCAACAGAGATGACTCTCTTACACATGTTTTTGAAATGTTTTGGGGGGGTGTAACTATTTTAAATAAAGCACTTGAATTGTGCGTTCATTGATTCAAACTCCTCACTGTTTTATTACTCTTGTTTCAGATCCTCTTGACTTGGTGAGTACTTCATCAATATATCAGTAAAATGTTCCTTAATTGTCCCTTTCCTTCTTATATCTTTAACATTAAATCATACAAGTAGGATGTTAGTTTGTAATACATGAACTGAAAAACAATGTTCTTCTCTCCAGGAACCTGGATTATCATCAGGTAAGATCCAGTCACTTAAACATGACACACAGCACACTTCCATGTGAAGCTTCATATTCTGTCAGCTGTCATGTTATGAGTTTATTATGGATCCAGCACTGCTCTCTCCTGCCATCTAGTGGATATACCCACTACACATGAACCAAAAAAAAACACATTATCAACGTGTACAGTGGGTGGCAGTGCATGCATAAATATAGATACTATGTGCTTGTGATATTACTTGCCATTCAAAAACCCTGAAGATATTAGAGATTAAAATAAATCAGAACATGATAATCAGTCTCAAAAGGGTGAGACACAGTTTGAAATGACAAAGTTCTTGTTAATAAGATTTTCCTTGAAATATCTGGTGTTTTTGCCATATTGAAAGCAGACAGACAAAAGGATGCTTAACCAGATTTGAACCCGGGGAGTTGTGGTTAAATTGTTTTTATCTTAGACCACTGCATCACTTAAAGAGGCCCTATTGTTCTTTCAGGGTTTTTTCCCTTTCCTGTATGTAAACATGTCACAGTAGAGGCACACAATACAAATGTGAATCTGAAAATGACCACAATATGTCCCCTTCAATGTGTCAGATGTCTAATCACTAACAGGCCTGTCTTTATCAGCCTGATTCACAATGTGTTACTTCTAAATTACAGGAAGCAGCACGGGTTCAGATTAAAATGTTTCACTTCAACCCCTTTTATACATGTGACTGTTACTCCAGCTACATCCATCCATCCTCATAGCGATCACTTGATTGTGTCTCCAGGCCCCAAGATGGTGGCAGTGAGGAACTACCACGGCACGCCTGCTCCACCGGGGAAGACGCCGCTGTGTTTTCAAACAGGAGAGTTTATCGAGCTGCTGAAGGGAGATCCTGACACCACGTGGTGGGAGGTACGGCTGTCAATCACTCTTATCTGACACAGACTTTAAAATATCTTGTTAAAGGCATATTAAGCTGCTTCTGACCTCCAGCATGTTGAGAAATTGTGATATCGGGTTTTAAATGAATCAATTAGTACTAGCTTTTAGTGTTTAAAAGTTGAGGGTGATCACATGAGGATAAATCATAGCCCTTTTGGCTCTCTGGGATAAATCCCTACACTCTAGCCTGGCTTTCTCCAAAGGTAACACAGTCTGGACCCCCAGCACCCGTAAAGACAATTCATATCTTGTTTGTTTAATCCATACAAAAACAATTATGTGTCTTGGCCGGGTGCAGTGACTTCCACTTTTTATCACTGTGAGGTTGCTGGGCAGCTGGCACAGACTCCAGGTAGTCCGTGGCAGGGCCAATGCACACTTTATTTTACACCTTAGTCTTTACACAGTTAAAACAAACAAGTTGTACTGTGTTAAGAATTGAGCTTCAGGGAGCTGGTATTTGGTAACCTTGAAACAGTCAGGCTGGCTGTTTCCTGCTATTTCAACATTTATGCTAGGCTGGCTGTAGCCTTGTATGAGAGCGATAAATCTTCACATCTCAGAAATGTCGAACTTTCGCTTGAAAGCAATGTAAGAGGAGAGCCAGGAATGTGGAAACACATTTCACACACTGACTGCTCTATAAATAAAGCTTCATCACCTGGGTCTGTAATGTAACAGGTAATCCAATATCAATTTTAATCAAGATAATTGCAAACCTTACAAATAAATACACATTTGGTAAAGTTTAGACACATCTTGACAGGTATAAAAACTAATCTTCTTTAGGGGAGTGATGCTTTTGCAGTGTTATTATGCAGGGTAAATCTATGAATATTTATGAGTGAAAATGTAGGAAACAAGATTTAAGTAAGTGAATGGCTGGGAGTTACAAACGTGATATGATTGTAAACTGTTTCTAATCCAGGAATATGACTGAACTTTGTTTTCTCGATTGTGTTTAACATCCTGTTTTACCTAAGTACCTTTATACTGAAGAACAACAATTTGCTTTTTTATTTGCCTTCTTTAAAGATGCAACACACACTCTGTTACTTTTCCTTAGGTCACAGTTCCAGACAGACAATATGGGAAATTAAGAAACCAATTTGAATCAAGGATGTTGAAGGTTATCATCCTTTAGAATTGGAATATTTTTAATTGGCGGCATATTTAGGCAATAAACTTTGATCCTGACATTCCTCGTCGGTGCCTGTAACGGGCATCGCCCCGGTGAAGACACTGCAGTAAATCCTTCACAAAGTTTGACGCTAGTTCATACGTAGCTAGGCAACGGTCGGGCGAAAAGTACCTCTAAACCCAATACCTCCTTTGTAATCTCCTCCCCCAACACAAGAAGACTGTGAACCACTCGGAGGGACCTTGTTGGCGCCCTGTGTATAAGTACAAATATTTTCCTGCGAATGTTTTCAACGTTAAAACGCCTGTACTATCCAGTGGAAATCTCTTTTTCGCGGGTTTGAAACCAAAAACGGAACATGTGTTTTGGTTTTGTGATGTCCGTTTCCCTGTTGGGACTTTTGTCTTATCCCGGGAATTGTGTACTCTATCCGGAGTCCATTCACTGCGGCGCAAACAATGTCGGCGAAAGCAAGTCCGGACTAGTGACAGCCTTCGAGACGTTCGAGACGGGTCCGATGTCGAGTGTAACTAAAGATTGATTACTCTCCCAGTTACACAACGAAACTCCTACGTAAATCTTCAGTCGTCTTTATGTAGTCTCCCCCCTAGCTAAAAGAGTCAGTAGCAGACTATTATAGTTAATCTTCAGAAACGTAATTTTTTTCACCGATTCGCAGGTTGTCTTCCGACGCTATTGAACTGTATTGTAAGTTTATGAACCCATCATTCTAAGT